ATATTATGACGTCACTTTATAATTTTTATGACGTAATATCTCCGAAAATGACGTCAGAATATAGAATGTTTAGCATACTGAAAACTCGCGTTTTTATCCACATGGCACAATTTTAAAAGTGCTGCCAAAGGCTTTTTTGAAAATATATTTGAAAGAAAATTTTCATTTGCAAAGAAGTTGAGTAGGACTATGTTACTGTTTATCAACAATACTATATTTCATCGTTTTTGGTCGTTTACTAGCGCGGTTTATGTCCGGTTATGCCATTATCGACATTCATCCAAGATTTTAAGTTACATGATACGACTGTATTTTCGGTCTTTTATATATTTCTCCATTGTATCAAATAAAACATTTTCTGTATAAAACTAAAGTATATTAATGCAATTTTCAACAAGTATATTTTGAGTGACAGTCCTCTTACCGTTTACAAATAAATTGTACAAAAGTCTTGCCCCTGACTTGTTTCTGTACGTATTTTTTCTCATTAATTCAACTTCGGCGCCCCAAAAACTCAGTACTGCTTTTGACTTTTGACTCCAAAAAAGGTTTATAAGTTACACAGTCATGTCGAATCTTATTCAATTTCCATGAATTAATTTTTGCGAAATACGTGGAGGTACGGTGGGGTTACAACTGCGCCCGCGCCATTTTGGATTTTACGAGAAAATATGGGGCACACTAAACTTAACTTCTCTTAAGCCTTCATCGATCCCACAAATATAATTAAAACACCTGACGAATTGATGCCATGAAATTAAGTAACACGATCGTCATTTTTTTTTATTGTCAACTTTGCATTATTCTCACAGTTGGGTCTGTTTTACGCAATATTTTGAGCAAGATTCGATAAAAACTTGCGATGTTTGACAATCGCTTAAACCATTTCAGAACAAGAAGATCTCTGAAAAAGACCACCATATGATAGATTGTAGTTTATGTAAAGATTCTACCAACTGTCATTTACGTCCGATAGCTTGCACCTGAGTAATGAGCAAAAATTGTTTTTAAAATTTTACATTGATGAAATTGTGTCGTTTGTTACGTCATTTTTATTGTCAGTATTGTAAGTATGCGGAAGTTGACGTCATTATCGGAGTTATTACGTCATAAAAATTATAAAGTGACGTCACAATATGTGTGCATTTTTCTGCTCTTGCCAATGATACCAAACTCAATAATTTCCATAAAACGGTTAATTTTTTATTAAACAGTTCTCAGGACATTTGAAATGCCCCTCGTATTGTCGAAAGAGTTAGGAACATCATTGAACGTGATGTGTGCTTCACTGTTGCAGCATTAATAGAGTTACATAGTAAATTAAAGAATTTGAAAACAATTCTTATTCGAGCTATATTTGTACAATTGTTAGCAAACTAGGTGTTAAGTGTTTATGGATATGTTTTTTGAATGGAGAAGAGGCTACAAACCGTGTTTTAAATTAAGAAAATTAGTATAATTTAGACAAACTTTCTCAACGTTGTTTTTGACGTTACAATGTTGGTTAACCGTGTTCCGTAGTAACAAAACATGTTGGTTTAAATTTTGGCTAACATGAGTTCTATTTAATCAAGTGGAATGAAACTTCACAATTCGGCAAAATAAATGTTAATATTTACGAAAATGTGTTGATCTATAATCTTGTAGTAATCATATGGCGATGAGAAGCATTGTCTACGTATTTTTTTAATGACCCTAGTAATAACCTAATAACCTAGAAGTGTACATCCCAAAATCACTCATCTAGATGCAAGCTTAATAATATACATCCTTAGAAGTATCATCCATACTTAATATCAGATCTGCTAAAACAAAATTCAACTATTCAATCATATGGATAATGTAAGTCAAGCCCAGCTTCTGAAGCAAGCCATGCAACCTTCACCAAAAACGTTCAACTTGCAACAAAAAGAAAACTTTATCTTGCAACAAATAATTCATCTGGTCATTCCTTAGCTGAAGTTGCGCATCTGAAATCTTGACTGTTACAATGAAACACATTAGAAGCATCTTGCATACATATCTGATCAATGAAGGGCATAGACGTACCTAAAAGGAAAACTGCTTAAAAAATCGAGGTGCCGACGCCAACACCGACCCCAAGGGTATCACATGAGCACCCCTAGCTTCGTTAAGTTGAGCTCCTCTCGTCGAATTTATAATAACAATGTAGAAAAAAATATATATAATAGGTAGTTCAAATCACGGAGTCTCAAACGAATTTTTTTTTTAAATTAAGGAAATTGTAAAACTAGTCACTGAAAAAATTGTGAGACTCAATGTCTCAATCCCCTCTCTAGACGCGACGGTACCTTTGGAAATGACTTTTGGTCGCCGTCAGTGATTTTGTTATTTCTTTGTCCTCTAAATGCCCAGTATTTTATTTATGAAATAGATTGATCCTACTTACAAAAATGTGTGAGCAATTTCTGAAATGTTTGTTATTGAAAGGATCCGCATGTCACTTCATGAGTATTTGACTCAAGCAGTTCTTCAGCGAGAAAATATTTTTTAAAAAAAAGCAAAAACAAAACATCCAATAAAATTCCAAATTTTGAATTAAATGACCCATTTTCAGCTGTATGGCAACGGCAGCTATTCTTTATATTTAAAAACAAGTATCCTGGACAGACACTTTCACATCAAAAGAATGTACCCGTAGTTTGAGTGCAAGTGGATAAAAAATACATTCAAATACATTCTCTTCTTGTTTCCATTTATTCAGTGAAGACTACAGTCATCAGACTACTGTACATTGTACCATTTGTTTTCAAAAACCAAACTAACAAGATATGAAAAAAAGTTATGCTTTGAAAGAATTGGTTGGACGAATTCTGTAAAAATCAGAAATAATTTTCAATCTCCTAACCTTGTTATTTCAATGGAACTTGTCGCCATTTTGAAGAAGTGAAACTGTGTAAAAATTGTCTCCACCTCCACCCTCAGACATAAGTGCAGCCATGATGTTTTACGAGAGGGGGGATGAGAGCAATGGCTCTGATGGCAATCGCACTATTACACAGAATAGGATATTTTTCGGAAATTTTTCCCTGTTAATGTTTTCAACTCTAAAGTCAGTTTGACGTGGAGATATCCTACTCAAGCACCAGATTTTTATGGGAAATCCTTTAGAGGGGAACACCTGTAGATGCACAAGACCTGGGACCGTTAGTTTATAATTATTGGAAAAGAACCTGAGCATCTAATTGCATGTATTCTATCTTGTACATACTTATAAATAATAAATGTATAAAACATATTTCAGTTGTTCTGATTGCCATCAATTATATTTTGTATTACTGAAAAAATGGTCGGACTTCTTATTTAACTATACATTAATTCATATATAACAGAGATTTACTGAGAATACAGCTCCTTCCCAGACAGATTAGTACTTTCAATTCACTACCACTTCAGGATAGAAAATACGGAGATATATCCAAGCCTGTAAAGTCCTTTTAACAATGCCAAAAAAATAGAGCAGAACACGGAATTTAAATATCAAAGGGGGATTAGGTACCATGGAGGAGTGAGCATCCTTTGCCGACCGGTCACAACCGCCGTGTGCTCCTTGTTATGATTGGAGAAAATCGGGAAAATCCGTCGAAATTTCAGTGTGTAAATAATGGTCTAAAAATAAGTATGAAAAACGTCAGCCAGCATTTGACTGAATGATAAATTGTATTTGCTGACAAGGTCATTGCATCAACCACAGAACATACAAAATGATGATTTGAAGCAAATCTGCTGATATTCTTCTTTCATCAACTTGTTTGTCAATAATTTATCTCGTTTTGGAAATTATACATACGTAGAGCATGTCCTTGTGTTTTATATCAACCAAGAAGGATATTGAGATAACAAAAAGTATTCAATATCAAAGTTCATTAAACAATACAAAACAGGAGCAGAGCAAACACGGACCTCTGAAATATCAGAGGTAGGATCAGGTGCCATGGAGGAGTGAGCATCCTTTACAAATATCAACCCCGTATGCAGGTGATGAAGGTATATTGATGCATAGGTAAGGGGAATTGACGATTGAAGGTTAAAGTCATCATGCTTATCATAAAGCTTTGTTGTCAAGTAATCATTAAATTCTTTCTAAAGTAATTACTGCTTAATTAATGAACTTTTTGAAAATTTCTCGTGGGCAATTGTATTCCACTATAAAATGCTTTAATATAATATCAGAGTATTGTATACTTGACGCACATTAAAGGGTAGAGAATTTGGTACCATTAGGGATTGAAATCCTTAAATTATCATTAAATTCTTTCTAAAGTAAAATATCCAATTATAAAACAGATGTGTCAGAATTTGTAATATTCTTTATCTTAAACTCACCAGGGTTTATCGTATCGACATAAATATGGGAAAAAAACCATCGTCATTGACAATACATCGTTGATTTATGTAATATCGAGTTCGAGGCTACAGGAAGTGTTTTTCTTCTTTTAATGTTTAACATTTTGGACAAATTCTGCTTAATATGAATTTCAAGACATAGGTCTGCTAATAATGGGACATAATTAGTATCCATGGGAAATTCAATAAATTGGATGAAGATCTGGTCTCTTAAAACCACATAGATATTGTCAATCAGATACTTCAGTATCTTTTAAATTTTTACTTTATACTACTCGTGTGTACAATCATATTGTTTTTAACAGAATAATTTTGCTTCTCAGGGCCTGAGCAGTGAGGGATCTTTATCGTGCCAGCATCTACTGCGACACGGGGCCTTGGTTTATACGGTCTCCGAAGGACCGGTCTCCACGTCCCACATCTAGATTCGAACCTGCGACGTAAGGATTGACTCCTTACTTCGCGACTCTAGAGCAGACGCTCTAACCACTGCGCCACGCGGGCGACAGGAAATATAAGTATCATAACTGTAAAACATTTCAATTTATATTTAGATATAAGAAATAGATAAGCATATTATTTTTAGCATGAAGACTACCTTTGTTGTCATATAACTTCACATAAAAACTAAATAAATTCGAGTATATTTATATAAAAAGACATTTCCTTTCAACAGTATAAAAATCTAGATACAATTATATTTCCAATATTAAAAAGCAAATAAAAAACAATAAATATTATATTACTCAGTCAGTTGAATTTCATTAAGTATTAAAAAAAATACATGCTTCATGGCATATACTTCTAATATTCCTAGGAAAAGTGTCGTTACATATGTTTTTCTTAACCGCTACATCAAGACATCAATAGTTGAAATTGTTTAATTAAGACACCTATATTATCTCAGCCACTGTATTATGACTGCAATAGACTCAAGACCATTGAATCCGATAGTATATATATTCAGTCTTTGTATCAAGACACTTATATAATCCAAGTTGTTGTATGAAATTGACTATGTACTAAATAATGATAAATAAAACATTTGTAGAGCTCCCTGTAATATAATGAAAAAAAGGCGCTCAACAATAAATTTACTCTAAAATTAATGTACAAGATAGTAATTAAACAAAACAAAAAAAACAATAATAAAAAGAACATAGCAATACGGACACATACAAGAAAAAGCAAAATTAAATAAAAATGGTAAAACCAAATTTTTTATCATAGAACATACGAAAAAAAATTACTCAAGTATTAATAGAAGAAGAAAAAATATTTAAACAAGACTCTCATTAAATTGAAAAAAAACAAACATTTGAGATTTTTCTTAAACATGCCCTTGTTTGCGAATGTTTTGGAAAAGTCATCGTACATTGTAACTTCAAAACAACAAAACAAAATAAATAAACATTAATTCCCATCTCTTCCTTTGAGGTTGTTAAATTTCTGAAGAGTAATCATATGCTAGTGAGTTCATGACAATTTCTTTCTCTTCATTATAAAGAACCATGTTGTCCTCACCTATTATTCCTACGAAAACGTTTTGCAGCAAGCCATTTATTTACAATTTTATAATCTTAAAAGTGACACGCTATGATTATATGTGCAAGCTTTACCCGGTAAGTGATTTTAAAATCGCGTTCTTCATGAAAACTCGACTATGGTTACTTGATGAAGATAAGGAAATACCGAAAGACTAGTCTCTTACAATTGATTTGCAATCTTGTTGTAAATAATCATAAGTTCGAATCCATTTTCTAAAGATGTTTTCTTTGTTTTTTTTTTATCAGTTAAGTTTATCAAACAAATGCAGAGTCTATGTTTTCACCACAGAAAAATGACAATTCTTTGCCGCTAAATGCAGAGGTAACTGACCATTAGCATCACATTTGTTCACATCAGCACCTTACTCAATAAGTTTTTCTACAACCGAGAGATGACCCTCCCACGATGCTAAAGATAAAGGAGACCAGCCATTAATATAACAGTTATTGCTGTCAGCACCATGCATCAACAGTTTTTCTACAACTTGAAATTGGCCTTTCCATGACGACAAAAGTAAAGGTGACCAACCATTTTTATAACACCTATTTATGTTTGCACCCTGTTCAACAAGCTTTTCCACAACTGACAGATGCCCTTTCCATATCGCTAAAAGTAAAGGTGATGAACCATTATAATCACACTGGTTAATGTCGGTACCGCTTTCACTCATTATTTCTACAATCGGAGCATGGCTCATTGAAGGTTCTTTAATATTTGTTTCAACAACAGCTGTCTGATTATTCTTTGAATTCTTTGATGACTTACTATTGACATCACATTTGTTGATGTCAGCTCCTTGCTCAATGAGTTTTTCTACAACTGAAAGATGGCCTTCCCAAGACGCTAAAGATAGAGGTGACCAACCATTGATGTAGACGTTGTTGATGTCGGCACCGTGCATTATAAGTATGTCTACAACTGATAAATGACCTTTCCATGACGATAAAAGTAGGGGTGACCAACCATAATTATTACACTTGTTGACATCCGCATCGCTTCCCAGTAATTTTTCTACAATTAAATCATGGCCTTCCCATGATGCTAAAAGGAGAGGTGTCCAACGATTTATATAACAGGTGTTGATGTCTGCACCGAGTTCAATAAGCTTTTCTACAACTGGAAGATGGCCCTCCCATATGGCTAAAAGAAGAGGTGATGAACCTTTATTATCACTCTTGTTGATGTCGACTCCACTTTCAATAATTTTTTCTACCACGAGAGAATGACCCCCAAAACACGCTTTATGTAGAGGAGTTAAATTATTGTTATCGCATTGATCACATTCAGCACCATGTCGAATTAATGTTTCTACTACATGCAACTGACCACGTTTTGATGCTAAATGCAGAGGCGACTGACCGTGAATATTACACACTTTGACATCAGCACAATGTGCAATCAGTTTTTCTACAACATGAAGATGGCCTTCCTCGGATGCAAAATGCAAAGGCGTTGATTTATTTATATCGTATTGGTCACATTTAGCACCGTGTCTAATTAATGTTTTTACTACATGCAAATGACCACGTTTTGATGCTAAATGCAGAGAAGACTGACCGTGAATGTTACATACTTTGACATCAGCACAATGTTCAATCAGTTTTTCTACAACAGGAAGATGGCCTTCCTCGGATGCAAAATGCAAAGGAGTTGATTTATTTATATCGCACTGGCCACATTTAGCACCGTGGGAAATTAATTTTTCTACGACTGACAATTGACCATTTTGTGAAGCTAAATGCAGAGAAGACCGACCATTATTGTTACACTTGTTGACGTCAGCACCATGTTCTACTAATTTTTCTACAACAAGAACAAATCCTCTAAATGAAGCAAAATGTAGGGGTGTTAGATTTTCTTCATCGCATCTATCACACTCAGCACCGTGCAGTAGTAATGTCTCTACAACAGACAAATGACCATTTAATGAAGCTAGATGCAAAGACGATGAACCATGAATTTCACACTTGTTGCTGTCGGCACCATTTTTCAATAAAATTTCTACAACAGGAACATGACCTTCTAAAGACGCTCTATGTAAAGGAGTTACTTTATTTTTATCGCATCGATCGCACTCAGCACCCTTATGGATTAATGTTTCTAAAACAAATGAATGACCATATAGCGATGCTATATGCAAGGATGACCAACCTTTTATATCACATTTGTTAATGTCGGCACCATGCTCAATGAGTTTTTTAACGACTTCCAAATGACCGAATCTTGATGCCATATACAAAGGAGAAATCTCCCTTCCACTGCATTTGTTACAATCAGCACCAAATTTGAGTAACTCCATTACTTTTCTGAGATCCCCGGTTCTAGCTGGTGTCCATAAAGCAGGATAATAACTTTTTTGAGGATTTAAATCTGCTCCATTATCAACTAAGTATTTTACAACGTCATATTTCTCTCTCAAGCAAGCAGCAATCACTGGAGTAATGTATCGATGTTTATTGTGCGATGGTTTGATATCTCCTACAGGCATTGAATTGATATTTTCCTTTCCAATATATTCCACCATAATTTTCACCATATCTAAATTTCCATTGAAACACGCCAATACAAGAAGTCTTACATGTTCTTCGGGTGTAGTTCCAAAAATGATATCTAATGTCTGACATTTTTTCACCAATTTTATAAAATAATTAAGCAAATCGAGGTGCCCGTAATAGATTATGAAACTAAGAGCACGTATTTCATAGATTTTCTTTTGGTCAATGCATTTTAGACCGAGCAGAAGATTTTGTCTTTCAGACTCTCTCTGTCCTTTTGTTTCGTCGATTTGTTTTTCACTTTCTTTCTGTGAGTCAAAAACTACATTATCGAAACTTTCTTTTCTAGGTAATAAAAATTCTCTTTTGACATCTTTACATGGCACTCCTTTCAAAATGTCCATGAACTTTTGTTTAAAGACACAGTCCCTCAATGCTTTATTTAAAAAAACGTCGTGTAGCTTTCCAGCCTTAACATCAGCATACAATCTTTTTGCAAGTTTTTCATATTGAAACTTATTCAATCTTATGCATTTTGCGTCATTACATGTATTTTCTTTGGTGTCCAAAACAACTTTGTTTGCAATAAAATTACTGTTCATATAGTCCAAAATTTGATCAGGAAATTGCTGTCCATATTGATATGCAACAACTTCAAATATTGAATCATGGATAAATGTATATTTTTCATCATCTTTTGTAATGTAGGTGTCTATTAAGTGTGACAATTCCTTGAATATTTCCCAATTTTCAGTGTTTTCCTTAACTTTGCAAGCTCTGCATACTTCTTGGAACATTTTGCTTTTACTAAGCATTTCTTCAGATAGGCAATTATTGTTTAGCATGCAGAGAACAATTGATAAATATTGTATTTTATTTCTCTTCTGAATCTTATTTATTTCTGATTGCCAACACTCGGAAGGACGGGTAAAAAACTGTTTACCGTATTTCCTGACGTTTTCGTCACTGCTGAACATTTGACAAAGAAGTGGAAACATGAAGACGTCCTTTCTGTGCAAAAGTTTTAAATCTATTTCACATGAAATCCTTGCATTGTTCATATGAGATTCAAATATACCTTTTTGATCTTCAGAAGTAAGAACATTCTTTTCATTCAAATTAAGGATTTTATCAATTTCAAGAAACACTACATCTAATACCTTTGCCTCATTGTATACTGCCAATCTACAGGACATGAGAAATTTTGATTTTCTATTAAGAACATCTTCAATTTGTTTACTATGTCTTTCTAAATCTGACAACAAATTTCTTTCTAAGGTAAAAACACCTAATACATCATCTATGACAAATATTTGTGGTCTGTTTAAATCGCCGTAGTTGATAATTTCCTCAGGTTTGGAGATTGGAACAATCTGATACTCGGACTCCAGCTGTAAAGCGATGTGGCGGATCAAAGCGGTTTTTCCAGACCCAGGAGGCCCAACCACAACCACAACTTGATTGGATAAAAAAAATTCTTTCATGTTTCCATATGAGGAGGTTTCAAAAAAGACTGCTTTCTTCCATGAATCCAATATTTTCCTATGTAGATCTGGTGATTAAAGAATCCTTGTTTTAAAAAAATGTTCAAAATGTTCCTCTTTTTATAAAAGCACTGTTTAACTTTCTTATAATTTAACTTATTCAGATATACGCTTACTGCAATTTTACCATTTAAAGATTTTACACTAGACAAAACTGCTAACGCACCACTTGTTAATTTGTGAATTGAACATTTGCCGGATCGGAGCAAGTACTAGCCATTATTTCCAAAACAGTGAAGTTGACAAATGTTTTGGTATCATGAAATTTTTAATGAACTTCTTGTCCGAAAACCAATATCCCGATGTGCACTGTGCTCCGTTTTTGCCTAGATATGAAATTCTTGATCACTAAAGGTGGTCTGTGAGATTGCCAAAGAGGTATTCCCCCAGTTTTAAATCAAATAACAAACAACCATTGACTATCATATCGCATAGTAATCATTCACTGCCTTAGTGTCCATACCAAATCCACGTTGATTGTAAATAAATGATGGCATTGATATATGTGATCCTAAACATCGTTGATTTACTCTGATGAATTTAACAAAGGGATTGTCGAAATTGGGAAAAAAAGGCTTGACGAGTTGTAATGCATATTTGCTTCAAAACATGGGAATCATCACCAGCGACATTTTCATTAATCAATCAGACCTTCAGAATAAAGAATGTAAATAAGAGACATCTTAATGGATGGTTTCAGCAATTTTGGGCGGGTGATTGATCACTGAATGATTAGCAGAGGACAAGAAGAACGAAAGATAGGGGATCGGAAGGAAGCGTTCAATGGTGTATGACGTCAAAAAGACAAACGTATAGAGTGACATGTGAATTTTTAAGTTTGCCTTATGCTACTGCTCAAAACATTTTGACAGAAGGTTTAATTATGAAAAAGTGAGTGTATAATGGAACCAAGAGTTCTTAGAGAAAGTGGAATTGGTAAAAGTGTTTGCGAATCACAAATATTTTAAATGAAACGAAGGGGAAACGCTCAAAACTATGACGGTGTTTATCCGTCATATGACGTAATATTTAGGTGCGGCGGCTTCCATAAATGGACATTGTTTAAAATCCGATATTTTTATAAGTATACATCATATTCCTTTGAATTTTTCAGATTTGATTTGAAATAAATAAAGCTTTCATCTTGTGTAATTTTGTTGCTTTACGTCGATTTTAGCAATTTTATCTAAGTTGTGACATTACCTTTAAAATCAACCCTCGTAGTTATTGAGTATTTATAAGGTTTGACATTTATATACCTAATTTTTTATTAAAGTAACATGATTATATATTTAAAACATCATAAACAAATTTTCAAAACGAAAATGTTAATTCTCCCAGGTTGTGTGTTGGCAATTTTGTCTAGTGTATAAACGTTATTTCTGTTCGTTTTGCTCTTCTTCAAAAACTTTTTTTGACAATATAGAATTGAAAATATTGAGGAATTTTTAATATTTACTGCACTTCACAGTTTGAGTTTGAGAGCAATGTCGTGGAATCTGATCACAACGTAAATATTGTTGTTGCATTTAGTAATTGTTTTGGTTTCTTCCACAATTATCTTTCTATAGTTCTATAGTCGATATAATGACCTTGTTAGCAAATACAATCTATCATTAAGTCAAACGCTAACTTTTTTTCATACTTAATGTTTACACACTGAATTGTGGACGGATTTTCCCGTGTCTTCCCGAACAAAATAAGGAGCACACGACGGGCGTGACCGGTCGACAGAGGATGCTAACTTCTCCATGGCACCTGATCCCACCTCTGATGTTTTGGTCCGTGTTTGCTCTGCTCCTATTTTGTAATGTTTGAAGGAATTTTCAGCTCGAATAGTGTTCGTTATCTCCAAATGTTTCATTGATGAAATATATTAAACAAGACTGCTTTATTATCATTACTGAGTGACCCTTGTATGTTTTTTTAACCTACCAATAGAAAAGAAATATCGATAAAATTATTAGACAATTGACAAAAAAGTGTTTGAAAGACGATCACGAACAGATAGGAAAGATTCTGTGAAGCTACTGTCTTTTTTGTGACAGGCGAGGGAGGGTGAAATGTAGTACTTTAAAAAATTTCCAGATTATTTAAACAATAAAATGCTTTCTTTGTTTGTTGTTACTGGAATGAACGGAAGCAGCTGTTGCAGAAAAAATACATATGTAATTTTTTTCTGCAGTAGCTGCGACCGTTCATTCCAGTAACAACATACAAAGAAAGACAGTTTATTGTTTATATTTATATCTGGTTAAATTATCATTTTAAGTAGGATTAAAAATATTAATTATTGTGTTAATGATGCGAACGTCTTTGTACGTTTCATTGATGGAACGGCCACTAATCAAGAAATCTGTACAGGTGATATGCCTAATGTTGTTTATGCAGAGATGAACGCAATGGGTTTTCTTATGAAATAAAGAAGAAAATATTCAGTGGATGTAAATATATTTCACACAAAACAATTCTTTAATAAACTGGATTTTAAATTATTTAGCGTTCAGTTGTTTCCATTTTTGTCTTACCAGTGATGCGGAAACCTGTAGGAGTAGACACTTATTTATAATTAGTATATTGTATATTGGTTTTTATTATTGTTAACTTATTAAAAATTAAGGGTTTTATCTTTTTTCTTGGTAAAGCTATATCACAACAAATGTAAGTACCGATAGGCAGTAGGAAGGGGGGCAGAAGAGAGAAGTTGACATTTGTCTGTAATTCAGCAATTTTAATTAAAAATATCAAAATACCTCTTATGTTTTCTGGTATGCTAACTGATTTCTGCTTCTGAAAATCTCCTTTTAGCTCATCCTGAAATTTCTTCTGTCTTAGAGAATATATGCTCATTTTTTCTTTTAATGTATCTGCGAATTAAACAATTAATATACATCCATCATGATTCAAAGTAAGTTACATCAATTTAACTTGTAACCGTATACTTTTCAAACAAATAGAAGGCTTTATACCGTTCATGTTTTCTAAGCTTTGTATTTATCTTTCAAACCACAAAGGTTTTGTCACGCTGATTCAGGAAAACAATTTATCCCCATGATATCATAAAGTGCTAGTGCACCAAATTGTAAAAAATCGCAATTTTAAAGGTCCGATCGTTTAATATTTATGCAAACGAATATTCAAAATATTTGATCGCCAAAATTACATCATTCACCAAAATAAGGCTCAAAAATATAATTAAATCATTAGCTCTCAATATTCAAGTGGATACGAGACTGCTACAGTACCCCTAATTGCCGACAAATGTGTAACATCCTTGGTGGAGAGAGGCTTGTTCTTATCAGTCGGAAATTGTTTCAGGATGTACCATAAATCCCTTTGGTGGGTGCAAGTTTAACCCTATTCCGTCGAATAGAGTGAGTAGTGGAGTGGGCTCATATAGATCACGATTCAAATTTCGCGCCAATGACGTCATCAAACTTTCGACCAATCAGAAAGCAGCATTTGAATTTTGGACACGTGACCCTACAGGCGGGAATTTTTTTAAATCACCTATGTTTATGGGGGTCAAGGGACCAATAAAGAGGTGTCCTAAAGGGTATTGTATGACCTATAAAAGGAAAGGTCTGGACGAGGAGAGTTCAGCCCGGGGTGGTCCGGGGTCATTAAGTGCAAATCAAAAACTTACTAAAAAAGTATCGAGTGACATAGCAAATGGAAGGTCTCGATGAGGAGAGGTCAGCCCGGGGGTGTTCCGGGTCATTAATTGCAAAATCAAAAGGTTACTAAAGGGTATCATGCGACATATCAAATAGAAGGTCTCGACGAGTAGAGCTCAGCCCGGGGGTGTTTCGGGGTCAATGAGTGCAAAACAGTTACCTGAAGTGTTTAATGTGATATCTCAAATGAAAAGTCTTGACAAGTGGAGTTTAACTCTGGGGTGTTCCTGGGGTCATCAGGTGCAAATTCCAAAAATAACCTTAAGGTAGCGTTTGACCTATTTTATGGACGATTCCGGGTTTTTCCGGGCCATTAGGTGCAGTATTTAAGACTTTCCTAAAAGTATAAATGCTCTGAACAATCGTGAATCTCTTCATTATCAAACAGAATGGCAACGACGCTAGTCCTTCGATCTTCGGAGGGCAAACACTTGTTCCCAAGCAACAAACCTTTTGATTTCACCGTCACGTTGCCAAAAACTTTGGTTTTTAAGGAACAGTGGACACTAGAATTAAGTGAATTTTATATTACAACCACTGTCAAGACCACAAAGAAGGAGCTTTTCATCTACTGTGACGCATTCGACACTTCTGTGGTGGGTGAACAATACAGACCATTGCTGAGGCGTGTTGTTTTGGAATCCAACAAGAATCAAATCTTCACGAGACCGTACCCAGTTCTGATGCGAATCCAAGAGTTGAAAAAGATACGCCTGGAAATAAGAGATAAAGATTTTGAGCATGCCACCTTCTTGAATGGCGAGATTAGCCTGACTCTGATATTTCGACCCGCAGTCATGACCAGTTTCTCGGCTTAAAGCTATAAAAAGTGATTCAAGAATAAATTGGTCACATTTTAAGAGTGTCTGAGGAAGAGTCAACATGCATAAAGTCCAGTGCGACGATTGCCGAGGCTGGTTTTCCCGAAAGGATGTCTTAAAGCGGCATCAGCGAAGTGTACACGGAATGATGGAAATGCCGCCACCCCCACCATCGTCGCCACCGCAGGTGATCACACCGCCGCCGCCACCGCCGCCGGAATTCACGCCGCCGCCATTCAAGCCACCGCCGTCGCTCCTCAAGCCACCGCCGCCGCCGCCATTCAAGCCACCGCCGCCGCTGCAGATGATCACGCCGCCGCCGCCGCAACTCAAGCCACCGCCGTCTCCATCAGCGACTCTTCCTTTATAGCAACGGCACCAGGACTTTGTCTTCAGGCATCCCTTTACTGCGAATATTTCAGGCCCCACGTGTTGTGGCAAGACGTATTTCTGTAAAATGCTCTTACAACACTGCCTGAAAATAATATGGCCTCCTCCCGAGAGAATCATATGGCTCTACAAACGTTGGCAACCACTGTATGATGTCATTCAGAGTACCGTTTATCCCAAAGTCGAATTTATTCAAGGAATACCTTTGGATCTGGATCAAGATTCCTTTATACATCCCAGAACGAGGAATCTCGTTATTTTGGATGACCTAATGTCTACGGCATCCAAAGATTCCAGAATCAACGAATTGTTTACGGAGGGCAGTCATCACAGAAATATGTCCGTCATAGCCATCAATCAAAACCTATACTACAACAAAGATCCCACCCAGAGACGAAATTGCCATTACCTGGTCCTGTTTAACAATCCTGTGGACAGACAACAAGTTATGACCTTGGTTCGTCGGATTTATCCCTAAAATCCTCAACACCTGCTGAGACATTTTAACGACGCTACTTCCAAACCTTATGGATACCTGTTAGTGGATTTGAAGCCCACTACTCCCGAACATCTACGTATGCGCACTGACGTCTTGAATTCTATTAAACAGCACGAAGCAGAGAATTTAACTTTCTCATGGAAAGGGCCAAAGAAGACAACGAAAAACTATGGGACCTGAAATATGATAAATACATAAAGAAAGGTCTATCACGAGAAAACGCTCGAGTTCAAACGGAGGAAAAAATGAACTCTAAAGACCTTAAGAAATTCTCTGAAAAGTATGGACAACTCATCCTGTACATCCTTCAGTTACAAAACGGATCCAATCACACAAAAGTCATGGATGATGTTAAAGATTTCCTGTCCGACGGCTATGACGAACGCAGAGCCATCAGAATGGCTTTGAATAAGAACCGTCCTGTCCTTGAAGAAATGTGGGATCCCGAGAGTGATATGGAGATCGATGATGCTTCCGAAAGCGAAGACCAAGTGGGAAAGGATGACTACAGCGAGATGGAAAAAGATAGTGATGAATCCTAAGAACTCAACATTTTGAGACTATTCCCAATTATTGTTTGAAGAATGGACTATCGATTGTATACTGTTGCATTTACTTGAATAAACAGTGAAAAAAAGCATTGTTGTTTTTTATGTCATTATAGGTCACGTGCTTAGGCATTAAATAAGGAGTGGAAATACATTAAAGCTTCATTTTAACGCTGTCCATGCCAGAAGAAACATGTCTTGGGAGGATTATCTCAAGAAAGTGTATTACGATCCATCCACGGCTGGAAGTTTCACCGGAGTGGATAAATTATGCCGATACGTTCAAAAAGAGGGAAAATATGATATCAGCAAGTACAAGGTACGCAAATGGTTACAGAGACAAGAACCCTACAGTCTTCAGCGACCCATGAGACGACATTATCGTCGCAACCAGGTAGTCGTCGCTGGTCTCGATGATCAATGGGACGCTGATCTCACGGACATGACCAAATTCAGCAAAGAAAATGAGGGTGTGCAGTTCGTACTCTTGGTCATCGATATCTTCTCCAAGTACCTGTGGATGCAACCTTTAAGGATAAGAAGGGGCCAACGAAAGCCCGGGCGTTCGAAAACATATTGCGTGAGGGGAGGCAACCTACGAAACTTCGCACGGACAAAGGACAAGAATTTCGATCAAAAGCCTTTAATAATGTATTGAAGGATCACAACATAGAACATTTTTATTCTCAAAACACCGAAGTGAAAGCCAACTATGCAGAAAGAGCCATCAAGACGATCAAAACTAAGATGTATCGTTACATGACATTTAAACAATCCCAACGATACATTGATCGTCTTCAGGAATTCGCTCAGAGTTACAACAAGACGTACCACCGCACTATTGACACCGAGCCTGAACTGGTTAGACCAAACAACGAAGAAGAAGTGCGCGTGTCAACATTCCTGTCTCGAGAAGAGATCTCACGCAAGCAATCAAAGCGGCCCTACAAGTTCAAAGTGGGTGATAAAGTGCGCATTTCGAAAATATCATCCATTTTTGACAGAGAATACGATCAAAAGTGGTCTGGTGAAATTTTCATCGTGTTTCGACGTTTCCTGAGGAACGGCATTCCAGTGTATAAACTGAAGGACTACAATGACGAAGCCATTACGGGGACATTTTATCAACCGGAACTCCAAAAAGTGGATGTTAGAGACGAGGATACGTTTAAGATTGAAAAGATCCTCAAGACCCGTGGAAGAGGACCAAACAAGCAATATTTTGTGAAATGGCTGCATTGGCCAAAGAAGTTTAATTCTTGGATAAATGCTGATGATATGGCTGCGTAATTTAATGCAATTATTATTGCTTGCCTTGAAATTATATGTATTCAGGCTTATGTCAAAAATATTGCTCTTCATGTCTTGCAATAAAATATGAACCAAAACAATGTGTTGTTTTTATTTTCGTTTGATGACCCCTATAAACCCCTGGGCTAGACGTTATCCGTCAAGACCTTCAATTTGATAGGTCACAGAATACTCTTTGGGTAACCTTTTGATTTTGCACTTGATGACCCCGGAACACCCCGGGCTGAGCTCTCCTCCTCAAGACCTTCCATTTGATGGGTCACATGATACCACCCTCGGGCTGAACTCTCCTTGTCCAGACCTTTCCTTTTATAGGTCATACAATACCCTTTAGGACACCTCTTTATTGGTCCCTTGACCCCCATAAACATAGGTGATTTAAAAAAATTCCCGCCTGTAGGGTCACGTGACCTAAATTCAAATGCTGCTTTCTGATTGGTCGAAAGTTTGATGACGTCATTGGCGCGAAATTTGAATCGTGATCTATATGAGCCCACTCCACTACTAGAGTGGAAAACTTGCACACCGAAAACTTATGCTTATATTATCTCTCAGGTGGGTGTAAAGTTCCGCCACAATCAGCACAAGAGTGTGCAAATACCAACCTTTATCAGTCTAGTGGAATGTGAGTCCTAACCTTTATATTTCATCAGCAAAATCATTCAAGCTAAAGGCCAAGACTTATCTTAATTTGCTAGCTTTTGAATTCCGGACAAAGACAAAAAGGATTGAATATTTTGACGTCATTTGCGTGGATTATTTTCCAACGACATCGGACCGGATTTGGTGTGTCAGGCCATTGAAGTTTTGTTCAGCATGTTTCATGGTAAACAAGCCATCGGAATTTTGTGTGACCATCTGAATTTGGCATCTGTATCGACACCAGACCATCGGAGATTGGCGCAGACCATTATACATTGGTGCAACCATCGGATTTTGGCGTCGGACTTGCATATATATCTAAGGTTATGTTTAAAACTTTCAATTTAAAAGGAAATAGAAACAGTTTTGGTTATATCAGTCTAAATTTTCGGTATAATTCAATTACTTACATATTGCGAAAGCGATTCTTACTGTTATATTGATAAAGCGGGTTGTAGGACTTTTTCTATGTAAAAATTATCAAAATTTAGATTTTTCATTGTTTTGATTTTCAATCTTGTAATGACCCCTGTACCTTTTGAAAATGTCTGTTTAAAAACAAAATGTTTACGAGCTATTCTCTGTAACCTTTGTAAAAATTAGACACCAAAAACATAGGCCATATACAGTTTGCAATATGTTTTATTTGCCATGGTAACAGCTGAAAAACTTTTAAAAATTTAGATTTTCAGCTCTTTTTAATCTTTATTGAGCCTTAAGAAAAACTAAGAAAAACAAATCTTTTGTCAACTATACTGAAACGAAAAAGAAACGCATCATCCTATCTTAGGGGGAAATGTTAAATATAGGGATATAATCTTGTATTTAAAAAGTAAGGACATCTTCAACTCTGTTAATATCGGTAATCTAACGGTTGAATGATTGTCACACCATCATCGCAAATTATGCTTGAGTCCGCATTACAGAAACCAGAAATTTCATGTCTAACAAAACAATTGGCACTAATATGGGGTTTTAAAGGTTTGTATCTAATGAAGTAATATTCCGAAAAATTACTTCTAATTTCTTTTCCAGAAGCGATGTTAATGCTTCTTTAAAATGACTTAAGCATTTCCATTGCTCTAGCTGGAAAATCTCATAATAAAGGTGATCGAAAATTGCAAAATGCAAATGTGCACTTCATCACATCAACAGGCTCATACGTATTATTATTAAGGTCTTCCGTTTCAGACGGAAGACCTTATAGTGATTCTACTGTTTTTTCTTATTAAGGTCTTCCGTTTCAGACGGAAGACCATATAGTGATTCTACTGTTTCTTCTTTTTCTTTTTTTTAAGGTCTTCCGTTTCAGACGGAAGACCTTATAGAGATTGTACTGTTTCTTTTTATAATTATTATTATTTTTTTTTTCCCTTTTCTTGTAAGACGGATTTCTCAGCGATGGCTTGACGGATTTTCTTGAAAGTTTCAGGGATGATAGAGAACCAAAATACGCTCAGACGTTTTTTTTCATTTTTTCAAAATTCACTTCCTGTCGTCAGATTTGTCCAATTTCCGTTTTTTTCAGAAATATTTTGTCATAGTCATATCTCAGAAACGGTAAGAGATTAAGACACCAAACTTAAATGAATAATAGGTCTTGATAAGTAGGCGAGCCCAGTTGGGTTAACATCGTCCGGCGTCACTTCTGGTCGTCACAGGAAGTGATCCAAGAAATCGAAATTTTCAACTTTTTTTTATTGAAACTTTTTTTGCATC